AGTATGTGCCTCACGTGTTGCTCCACAGTCAAGGCCGTCCATAAGCTCCACAGTGTCAACTCCAATGCCTTGCGCAGTTCGTCGCACAACCACCGTGTTACCTTTACGGACATGTAGTACCGCCTCCGAAAGGCTATTCGGTGCATCACGGTGATGTTGATAGAGCTTTTTTTAATTTGCAAGCTGGGTGCATAAAATGCCTGGAACAATAACAGAATATTTTGTGGGTTATGTACCTAGCCAACAGGGCATCTGGCTCGCCCTTGCAGGAAACATATAACTCAATGAGGCTACTTGTGAGACCCGTTTTGCTTCTTTTACTGCAATATATTGTTCGTATCGGGCTTGGACATCGATTCATTTTCTCTACACTTCCATTGGCCTGTTCCATTTTACAATCTATTATAGTTACCACAGGGCCAGGTGTATTACTCAATAATCGCATATTGGATTTGTGTCAGTTTGAATCTATAAAGAAGACAACAAGCAGTGTCTTTGAAAGTGCTTTTTTTTTACAACAATGCCGTAACATGAAAAATAAACATGTTTGAAAGCACAGGTTGCAATACTTTCTTTAACATTGAGCATGGACTATTAAACGCAGTATAAATTCTTTGTCATTATTCAGGATATATCACAGACATTATTTCATACTACACTTCATTAATTCAGCACACTGCCATTTCGTGTGTGTTTTGTCACACATGGAAGCATGACAGATTCCATAGAGGCATGTTGAGATCAACAATGATATAAGAAAACAAACAAACGAAAAACACAGGGACGCAGACGAAGGAAACAGGACAAAATGCACTCTTAACTGAAGTTTATTGAAAATTTAACTTCCGTTGAGAGTGCACCTTGTCTTGTTTCCCTTCGGCTGCGTCCCTGTGTTTTTTTCGGCGCTTTTTTCTGTTTGCAATGAACGAACTGGCCCAAATCTCCACTTTATTTCGATAAAAGAAAAATGGAAAACCCGGAGGCCAGTTTCAGGCGGGTGGCAAGTTGTGGCTAGAGTGCAGACCTCTTGGTTTCAAACAAAGAAAACCCGGGAGCGCCCAGGGCCGAGTCCTCGCCCACCAGCGCCAAAATACGTGAGTATGATGACGCCAGCGAGCGCACCCGGGCGCCTCCGCCCCCTGTTTGCCTGCGGGTAAAGGAAGTAATTCAATAGCTTGGTCCACACTATGAGTAAACTACGCAAATTACCTCGCCTGTTTCGCCAGCCCCGTAGCCCGCGCCCGCGCCTTCGACACCCGCATGGCCCAGTAGCGTTTCCAACCTTCCGGCTCCTTCCTTGGAGGCTTCCTTGGAGGCCCGAGGAAGTTGAGCCGGGAGGTTAGCTCGTTCCAGAGACGAACTTTGTCGTCTCTGGACAGCGCCGGGCTCAGCTTAGTTACGCCGCGTACCAGAGAGGCCACATCCTCCTGTTTCTTGAGCAGTCATTAGCGCCAGTAATTTGAACTAGGCGCTCATCCGCATTCCGCATGTTGTTCTAGCCTTTTATGCGAGTTTACTCTATCTAATATTTTCTGGAACCGCTACAAAATCAGTTGTTTATTTCAATAGAACACGTGTATTTTTTTTAGTTTGACAAGTTTCTTTAAAATAGAGCCGATGTGAAGGTCGCCGCCGCAAAGGATTGGCTGCCATCACTTGACTAAAAGCAGAAAATGCTCCTCCGGTTGCCAGAGAAACGGACGCTTGCGTAGGGACTAGGTTCCAGATAGGTACCGCGGAGAAAGCGTAGGTACGGCAGGGGGACAGCGTAGCTACTTCCGCTCTTCGGTGGTTGGCTCTTGACGCCTCTCAATTGAGTGACAGACGCCAATCTTGCCATGTCGTCACGACGTCAAAGAGGGCGGTTTCGCGGTGCGCGCCGTTGCTTGGTTACGCTCCTCCTGCCGGTACGTCACTTCTGTTTCTAGTTTCTCGAAAGTCCGACATAGGTCCCCTGGGGTACGTTGATCTTCAATAAGGAGAGTGTTGATTTGTAAGGTTTAATTAAAACCTTATGTTAATTTTAATAATTGAAACGTTAAGTTGAATATGTAAGTCAATAGGGCAGTTTTAGCAAGTCGTTTCCAGACGAACGGTTTGACCTCGAACGCATCGGCGACGTCCACTGCGCATGAGCGTGCGAGTCGTTCGGGGCTTCGGGAGGCTCTTCTCCCTCGTTTCGCCCACTCCTACCGCTCGAGTCGTCCCCACAACGCAGTCAGCATCGCTTTCAACTCAGGCAAAAAAAAAAAAAAAAAAAACCTGGCGTTTGGTTTGGCGATTTTCTCCGCCGACACAGCCGAGCGTTATACTCTGTTTCATACCTAGCGTGCAACGCTGCCAAATTACTGGCGCGAGCTTGGGGCTTGATCTCGTTGATTATTTGGACGAGTTCTCTCGCAAACAAAACTATCGATGAAGCCACGCGCTCGCGCCAGTACCTTTGACGGCGTTGCACGCTAAGTATGAAACAGAGTTTAGTCTTAGCACAGCGGGAAGCGATTTGCCATCCTGTAACTCTGCTTCATTTGAGAGGTTGAACCAAAATCATTTCAATGCCTGCTCACAATGGTAAACGATTGTGAATGCTGAAACTACGCATGCCAGGGAATTTCTGCCATATGCGGGGTGACTAGCTGCAGTGGCTACCGCAAGCAGACGAAATGGTTTGGTTCGACGGCACCCAACGATAACGATATCGCTCAAGTTCAAGGTGACGGAGACACACCACCTACCTTTGCGGTCGTGGACACGCTTTTTTACTCTATTTAGATTCGCAGATCCTTAACTTCCAACCGGCTAATGTTACGTCGGCCGTATTGTTTACATCAGTCACACGCCGGCAACACGAGGCGCCAGGGATGTGCACGCTGCAGAATGTTCCACATATTTACTAGAAGATGGCGCTGCCGGTCAAACGCAATCATTATAATCGTTTACACGGTTGTGTCACTTTTGCGATTCGCTATGATGTGTTAAATTTCACGTACGGTTTCACAGAACGCACCAGCTGCACCATTCATGATTTCGGAACCATGTGCTCCAAAAAGGACTCGCTAAAACTCCCTAATATTATTGCAAGGACGGTCGGCTTCTTCGTGTGCTTTAAAAAAATAAATTCTAAAGAGCAATCTAAAAGAAATAGATAGACCGTTGGCTTAGATAACCAGAGAAAATGTTACAAACACTTTTTGCTTTATGCAGAGCGAACTTCCTTCTTTAAAACAGCTCTGAGAATACCAAAAAAATTGCGTTATTTTGTAAGTTCATGCACTGATTAATAATATTTAACCATTATTAAGGCGACCTTCACTCAATTTGTTTTTATTTTCCAAATTTAGGTAGATCGACTGAATTAATGATTATTGCCAAAATGTGAAGCTAAATTGAGAGTAGACAGAACAGAGACAATCGCTTAAAATGGTACATTCTTAAACAGGCATGGAGAAAGAGTATGCTTTATAGAAGCAATTTCTATCGATTTTTGTATCTGTTTCATATAATTCATACTCTATGCGCTGATGAAAGAATCGAAGTGGCTATCAAATTAATTATTCGCATTTTGTTCTGACATAAGGGTTTAGCACAGAGTGCCGCTAAACTCTAAAAATTGTGATACATGTTATTTACATACACTAATATATCTGACTGAAATGCAAAATAACGAGGCAAAAACCAAATTTACGTAGCTTATTCCTCGTTCCCGTTGCTGTAGAACAGGGGTAGCCAAGCTGCGGCTCGCGAGCCGCATGCGGCTCTTCGCGTGTTAAAGTGCGGCTCGCGGCTACCTCCCCTACCCCCCGCCCCCCCCCCCCACACACACACACACTCACACACTTACACATCTCTCTCCCGGTCACACCAGCACTTCCCCAAAGAGAGAAATGGAACGCGCTTTAAATCGAAAGACAGGTTGCTGTTTCTTAGTCTTGTGCTACTGCTACCTTACGTACAATTGGACTGCTTTTGACTCGGATAGATTGAAAGTAGTTCGAGTTTTGGTTATTGCTCCGGACAAAAGCTTGCCCCCCCCCCCCCCCCCCCCCCCCCCCGCGGCTCTTGGAAGTTTGGTGGTTTTGTTTGCGGCTCTTATGCCTTGTCAGCCTGGCCACCCCTGCTGTAGAAAGTGGCTACTTGAAAAGCGGAAGATACACTTTTTACGAAAAAATATTCTTTTGTTGGAAGCTAAGAAGCGAGTTTAGCTTAGCTTTTGTACCAATGTTGAGAAAGATAGTCATACGAATAAATCAAATAAGACTATAGTCGGCGATAATAGCATTAAAATATATTTTTGTAGTTTAATGAAATGCGTTTACCAGCACGATTTTTTTATTTAGGATTTGTCTCCTTTTAGTAGATTCGAGATAACTCTATCAAATTCAATGTATATAAAGCTTAGAATATTTTTTTGAGCAAACTATATTTGGAACTGTTTGAGCCCGCTCTGTGATAAATTGAAACCAAATTAAAATACTGAACCGTCAAAACAACTTTTGTGGATCTCACTTGGTCTCGCACCCCACACATCATATATCGATTACCACAATAATGTCAAATACCAAACTATACTGATCACGCGGAAGTTTCATAGCGTCAAGCTTTACATAATGCACTCTTAATGAATCTGCCAAAACAATTCTGAGTAACCTACTTCCAAAATCCTTCCCCGGCCAATATTTTATCAGAGTACACTTCGTTTCTCATATTCTGAGAAAACAACGGTGCAAACCACTCAATATTGATAACATACGGTATGCGTAAAGGCATTGCAGGTTCTCAAACGTCATTATCGAGACGAACAAAAGAGAAGAAGGCATCCACCTGCAAAGCGAACGCCGCGAGGCTATCACAACACGTTCCCGCGTCTCAATGTCATCTCGACTGGGCAATGGACTAGGAATCCCCAAGCGGAAAATCCGGCGGGAGAGGCTGCCAGACACGGTCCACAATATCCTTTTGTGTGCCTATAAATCTGGGCGCCTCTGCAGAGAGAATAGTGTCTGAACATTGGTAAAACGTTCACGATGGCTTCAAAGATCGTATTGAGCGGCTTGCTGGTTCTCTCTGGTGAGCGGAGGCTTCTTGGTTTGAACATTTGTTTGTTCTCGAATCCTGCATACAACCTCTTTCGCTTTCCTTTCCCGTCAAAGTTGTGAGTTCTCTACCCGGCTCATAAGTTATTACGGCAACAACCATTATTGGCGACTTTTCCCGGGTATTTCGTGTATGGTCTAGGATACGGGGTCGTGGCCCGTTCAATTTAGCGGAATACGCTTGAAACTAAATTTAGCGGGGAGTCTCAGTGTCAGGCAACACTGTGACGTCGTGTGGTACTCTGTTCTAAAGGGAAAGCGTTCTTCCCAAAATATAACGGTAGCGTTTAAGGGGCATAGGATGTCATCTGGCACTGTGACATTACGCGGAATTCGGACGTCTCGTAAGGTCACAGTAACGTCACAGTATCATGTTACAGTTACAGTTTTGCCCCTTTGTTCAATTTTGAATAGTGGTAGGGAAGGACAGTGGAAGCGGAGTGTGCAGAGTCCCGGCGGTCACCCGAATTTTTTTGCGGGATACGTCGATGATCTCGCAAACTTTTATAATATATAATATAGCTTTATTTAGAGTAATGTCAATACCTGATTGCCGAGCAATAACCCTTCAGTGCTCTATAACACGAGTGCAAAGTAAAAACCCGTCATTACTACGCGTGTATTCGTAAATTATATAAACGAGTTGTAGATTTATGCATACCTAATAACGTTAGGCCAGATTATGTAATTATTTAATATACATTTTAACATGGTATCATACAGTGATTATGAATCATATCTCTAAAATAAAAAAAAAACACGATTATGTTACTTTGCACTGCAATGCGATTTCTTAAAATGGCACAGATAAGGCGAATCTGCTTCTTTGGATGCTTTTCTTGAGCACCTTACACCCTGTAATGAGGGCTGCAGAATGAATTTTGATATTTTTTTTATAGTTTCTTCGTACGAACACTTTCACCTCTTTAAAACAAACGACCCAAGCAGACATGTAATATGTATATTGAGGTAGCCATTTATTTAATTTTCTAGATAGCCCTCGTGAGACACGTGTTTTGACATGCTCGACTTTGAGGAACGTTAGTGTCTTCCAGAAGGATGATGGTTTCTGTGCTCCCTCAGCTACTTTCTCGTTATTAATGTATGATTCCTTCTTTTCAGCGTTGTGTCTTATTGATGCTCAACTGGTAAGTCAGGTTCTTCTTATTTATGATTTCGACACTTTGGATTTACACTGTGCTAACGCACGTAGATTAGGCACTAACATACAGCTTGCAATATTCTCAGTTTAAACTGTTCTTTTTTTTAAATAGGGGTTGGTTAGCCAAATGCTGTCTTCACAAGGCATTTACCAGACTTGGCATAGATTATGGGGGAATATACAAGTCACATGAAGTTGTATATTAACTACAATCTGCTATTTAACTTCTATTATGGCTTTTTGGGTTAATGTTAGAATCGTAGCCTTGAAGACAGATTAAATTCGAGGCTAAACAAATCTAAGTTTATTTTCGAGACCGTTCCAGACATTCATATATAATTTTTCACGTTTCTACCACGTTATTCCTAGAGTGGACGCAGAACGAGTGCCGAAAGTTTCGTCTACGAAAATGCATAGAAGTGTGACGTCGTCGTTTAGTGCAGCTCCTCGTTACCGGGGAAGCGTTTCCTTGAAGGATGCGCAGATGTGGTGCTGCCTAAAAAAATGACGAAGCGCTTGAAAGGCTCACGTCAGTTACTTCTTTGAATCACCAGTATGAAAGGCAGTTTATAAATATGCGTCTTAGAAATTGTTTGATACAATCAAATAAAATAATGTTTTATTCTTTATTATATACATATTGATACGAAGCCAAAAAAAGCTGCAGAAAAAATATTTCTTCGTCAAAAATGGAGAAACAATTATAAAACGTGCGACATTAAAAAAACTGATTTTGGCACGCAGAAACCAAACCAGATCTGACAACACTGCATAGACACACACAGCATAAAGCTGTAATTCTACATATTATTCAACAGGCACACATCACGAATTCATATAAACAAAAATAAACCGGAACAACGGAAACAAGCAAAAAAGGAAGGAAAAAAAACGTCATTCTGAGTTGAGCACGGAGTCACACATTGTCATAGATTCACACTCTTAAAACAATTATCAATAATCTTTCGTTTTTATGTTAGAGGTTCGATTTCTGGAGTGTTTAGATAATTAGGTAGGTAGGCATGTGGGATATCGTCTGCACCCCATGGGTTGTTACAAAACTGGGTGATTTCCAGTTATCTATACTACGGGCAGCGTACGCTAGTAATTTAGTCGTAAGAGCCGTTAATTAAACAAGGTTACGAGAATTTTATTTTTTTTTTCACTTTGGACTTATAATATTAAAGATATTCGTAGAAATTATATACATGTATCGTAGTGAAACTTGTAAAAAAAGGACTATTAGAGTGAAGTATTACACTTCAAATCTTTTATGCAATATTGTTTTGTCGAGAACTAGTACCTTATTTAGATTTATTTTAGTGGTCTTCCCCAGACTAGGTGACAATAGCATATGTGGGGAAAATCCAGAACAGACTGCGTGAAAAGCGAAACTGCAGATGGCATTTAATATTTATAAAATTTATGAACACTAACATTTCCTGTGACTAGCTTGCTGGATAAGAAAATAATGTACAGGATGTGTATAGTAATACCCGGCCGACACTAATAATACGGGTGAATTTGATACAACCTGTGCAAAATGCACATATTATGAGTTTTCAGAAGGCCGTAAATTTATTTAACATATTTGAAGCCCTTGGAAATACACCTTTTTATCCTAACACATTTCTTACTTTCATAGAGAAGGGATTCAGTGCAAGTTCGCATCCCGCCACCGGTCATCAAGATTCCGCCACCGCCTCCCCCACCAAAGGTAAGAATTTGCACGGCGTCTTTTACTCAATTGACAGTAAATTGAGCTTAAGCTTTGCAGTCTAAATAATCTTTGAAATATGTTTGAGTAAAGTTTCCTGCCACAGATCAATCGCATCGTTTTGAACAAAGAATGTCTCTGAGAGGAAAGTTGGTGATGATTGTATCGAGAATGAGTGGACATCTCTAAGGAGTCATTCGGTGGCAGATTTACATGTATCGAATAGTCCAATTGGATGCATTGTGAACGAAGTGCATCTCCGGGAGAGGAGTTTGTGTTTATTATGGGTATATAAAAAGCGAAAGAAACTAAACGATTTAGCTACGTTTGACATGCCTTTCCTGTGCTTACTTGTCTGCACATTCCCTGTCTTTTCCTGTAAGTGCTTCGCAGAAAGGTGAGTGTACATCGAACGACTTTGCAAAGACATCAGAGGACTGACTATTTTGTTTAACAATTTGCACATGTTTCTACATGTTGTGAAAACCTTTTTTGCATAATGGTGCTTCGTGTAATACCCGAAAGAACACAAATACAATATTAAGAAGAGCAGCTCCCTGGACTTTGTCAAACGCCGACTTAGGATAAAAGAATAAAACTTTTTTTTTTAAAGACGGCACAGTAATTCCTACCATGAGCTCGGGTATTATAGGCGATGTGGATGACGCAGTTGGAGCAAGAGGCGGTGTGACACGCGACGCAAATGCGTAGCCTTACTAGTATGCCAAGCCGCAGCAGGAGACAGCCGAAGTCAACTTAGAATATGGACAACTCTGCAGCAGGTGGCAATACTGAAATTATTTTCGAACGCTTTTTGGAACACTTGTTCCATCTCCAAAGAGTTGGGATGCTACAGTAACTAAAGAATTACATTCTTTAAAAACAAACTTACGCTGCGCCTCGGCCTCAGAAGTTGTGGAGTTTGTGAGATATTTTACATCGCAAATATTATATACTTAAGTATAATAGGAATTTCTATTTCATATCACCATAGCGATAACTTTTCAACTGCCTTCTTGCAGACTCGCATCAACATTGAAGGCGGCGGGCTTCCCAAAAACCACGCGTTCAAAGGAAGGATCGAGCAGGACCTGTTCCGCATCAGGGGTGGCGGCGTCGTGCACGGATACGGAGAAGGCACACACATCCGGAACCCGCAGGTCGGAACCATCAGGCAGGGAGAGGTCGGCATCGGCGTCAGGTTTCCCATCCGCCACGGCTAAAGGCAACAGAGAATGAAGCAGCCAAAATGTACGAAGCTTCACTGCCTCTAATGCATAAATAAACTGCACACACTTGTTTCATATCCGTTGTACGAAGCAAAACAAGCTTCGATACACTATTACCTTATTTTTCAGTCTATTAATGGTGTTGTTTCTGTATATGTGTTTATTTTCTAAATCATGAACCTTAACTCCTCACGGGCCGAGCCAGTCGGTTCATTGCTTACTAACCCAGGTAGCACAGCTGCTTGGTTTAGCTGGGCCCGGATTGGCTCTGAGTTGTGATAACTTGGTCACGACTGCCCAACCATTCACGTATGTATGCCAGCCTGGCGTTTCACAGTCTTTCCTTGCCCCAGAAAGCCGCGGGAGTACCAGGGAACGTATTTACTGGTTGACCAATCAATTTCCTTGGTCATTGATGGCCCGGGTAAACAGGCCGCTGCCAGTATTTGATGTACCCTGGCTGTCTATGGATTTTCCTCGGTCAGAGATGGCCAAGGTAGCAACGCCTCTTCCAAATTTATTAGGTTCCATGGTGGTTCATAGGAATTCCCTGGTCCCCTCCATACAGGCAACAAACAGCCAGTGTTCGGGCATGCTGCCAGATCGAAGATAAGGTGAGCCAAGGAATGGCAGGGAATTACCGCTATGCAATATTCCTTGGCTCAAGCTCGTATTTTATTAGACCCAGAATGCCCACAGAAAGACACTGTTACTCTATAGTTCGTTTAACTTTTTTTTACTTTTTTTATCTCTATGAGCGTTCTCTTAGCATATTTTTGGTGCCTTAATTGTGGCACACGCCCTCGCACTAGAAAGCGACGTTTCAGTGCCCGAAGTCTGTTTTAGCAGTCATCATCATCATCGTACACTTTATTAATTGATAAAGCGAAAGGACCTTGCGGTCTCTGGTCGGTGCCCTTAGTCCAGAGCTCCGTTGGCCGCCCAGATTCGGCGGGCTCGCTCAACCAGTCGCTGCTGGTCATCGAGCTATGTGTCGGAAAGGGCCGCCTCCCAGGAGGAAAAGGTGGGGGAAGGAATGGGGGTGATACCCTCACCGAGGGGATGACGGCATTCCCAGGTGGAGTGGTACAGGTTAGGCTGATCGCTGCCACATCCCGGACAGGTGCCTGGGTACCGGTTGGGGAACCAGCGATGTCGCTGGTGGAGGTTAGGGAACGTAAACGTTTGAAGTTGTCGCCAGTCCGCAGCCTCTGCCCGGGATAGCACCCGATGCGGAGGGGGCAGGACCCGGCGGGTTGTTCGGTAGTATTCTGTTACCAGGTGGTAGGTGTTAAGGTGTGTGTCAGTTGGAGTGCGGAGGTACTGGGAGTCCGCGGGTGTGTTTGGCTCTGGGTCCCGCTGTATCCTGATCCCATCCGACAAAGCCCGGTTTGTCGCTACCGCTCGGGCTAGTGCGTGAGCACTTTCGTTGCCGGATAAGCCCAGATGTGCAGGGGTCCAGATGATCCGGATGACCGGTATTTCTAACCATTCGGTTCTTATGGCGTTGATGAGGTGTGCTGTCCGTGGGTAGAGGGTGTTGCCCGCAAACGCTCTGCACGCTGCTTGCGAGTCGGTGACGATAATTATCTTATGCTTGAGGTCGGTGGTGTCTCTGTGTGGGATTGCGTGTGAGATGGCCAGCGCTATGGCCATCTCCTCCGCCTCCTGGATTGATGCGATGTTTGAGATGGAGCCCGTGCTGTGGCAGGCGCCGTCTCTGTCTGTCACTGCGATGGTTGCTGCTCCAGCTCTTTCCCTGTGGAGAGCAGCATCTGTGTACCATGTTTGTGGGTCTGGGCCGTAGACTTTCTCTAAGGCCCGAATCCTGGCCTCTCTCCGCCCTGTGTGGAGGTCTGGGTGCATGTTCTTAGGGATAGGTGCCGCCTGTACGCGGATCAGGATATCCGGTTTCAGGCGCACTGGGGCGGCTGGTTTGTCCTGCGTGAGATTGGTGTAGCCAAGTCAGCGCAGCGTTGCTCGGCCCGTTCGGGTGGCGCTGAGGCGTGTGACCTGTCCCGTTTTTTGCGCTTCGACTAGCTCTTCCACCGTGTTGTTGACCCCCAGCATCAGGAGTCGCTTCGTTGACGTACTTATTGGTAGACCAAGGGCTGTCTTGATCGCCTTGCGGAGCGAGGTGTTTAGCCACTCCAATTCGGTGATGGTGAAGTTGTGAAAGGGCACATCATATGTGAACCGGCTCACAATGAGGGCTTGATAGATTCGCGCCGTATCCTGTTCACTGAGCCCCCCTTTCCGGTTAGATACCCGTCGGATGAGGTGGGCTATTTGGTCAGCTTTCTGCGCAGGAGCTCCACGGTGTGTCGTGCTCCGCCGTCGTTTTGGAGGTACATGCCAAGGATTCGTAGGCGCTCTACCCGGGGTATAGGTGTATTTCCTAGCTTAAGGTCGATGGTCGGCGCGTGTTTGTTCAGTACTGAGCGTTTTCGGATCACCAGGAGCTCGGATTTTTCACTTGCGCAGGTTAGCCCAGCCGCTCCCGCGTAGTCTTGGTGACGTTTGTATCGGTGTTGCGCGGGCGCTCGAGCAGCAGCTCGGAGCCTGGCGCGGGCTCATGACATAAAGCACGAGAGCCAGTTCTCTACTGGTACCGAGCTGTGTGGACTCACAATCAATACATGGTGCCGAAACCCGACTGATATCTGACACAGCCCATTGGTCGCTTTATCAAAAAAAAAAGACTGGGTGATGTTCCCCCTCGCCTACAACGTTTCTTTTTGAGACTGATGAGGTACGACTTCACGCTACAGTTTCTACCTGGCAGAAAGCTTGTGCTAGCTGACGATTTGTCAAGAGCTGGGCAGCCTAGTCCTCAACACAAGCAAGGCTTGGAGGATGTTGAAGTACACGCTGTGGGAATGCTTGTTGCACTTGTGAGCGAGACAACACAGAACAGACTCAGAACTGAAACACAGACGGACCCTGAGTTACAACACGTCCTTCACTGTCTAGAAAACGGGTACCCACTGCAAGGCAACTTCAGCTCACTAGACCCTGAACTGTCGGTGGTCAATGGAATCATTCTTAAAGGAACGAGGGTGGTGATCCCTTCGTCACTTCGGCGAGTTATGTTAGCTCGGGTCCACCAAGGGCACTTAGGTGTAAACAAATGTAAAGAAAGGGGACGCCAACTCATGTTTTGGCCCAAAATGGCGCAGGACATTCAAACCTTTGTTGCGGAATGCGCGACATGTAAAAAGTTTGCATATCAGCAACCGCGTGAACCACTAATGATGCGCGAGCCCCTTCTTTACGCATGGTATCGTGTTGGCATTGACTTGTTTGCCTATGGAGGTTACTCTTATTTAGTTGCGTTTGATGCGTATTCAAACTACCCAGAGGTTGAAAGACTCCAGGACACCTGTTCGCAAACCATCATCCAGACAATGTCAGGCTGGTTCGCAAGGCACAGCATTCCAATAGAAGTTTGCTCAGACAATGGGCCACAATTTTCATCTTCCGATTTTAAACGGTTTTCCAGGGTTTATGACTTCCATCACGTGACATCAAGCCCCCACTTTCCGCAATCCAATGGTCTTGCTGAAAAAGGGGTACAAATTGCAAAGAGAATTTTAAAGAAATGTGGTGATGCAGGGGAGGTTTTTTTTCTCGGTCTCTTGAACTATCGGTGTTCCCCTTTGATTGGAGGACAGTCTCCGGGAGAGTTGCTGTATGGAAGAAAACTGCGAGCACAACTTCCTGATTTCTCATCGCACCCGAGGAAACCGTTGTGCAAGAGGGAACAAAACAAGCCTGGAACGTCGCTGAAGGACCTGAAGAGCGGTGACGTTGTCCGCATGCGAGGAAAAGGCGGTTGGTTCGAGAAAGCTAGGGTAACAAATTGTTCAGGGTCACGCTCCTACACTGTCCAAACCGAGCGGAACAGGATCTACAGGAGAAACCGCCGTCATTTGTTGAAAACGTCGGAGGCACTCAATGATTGCCTGGATGAAGATGCCGCTTCACCACAGCAGCTCTCCGACGCCCACGACAATCCGCAGCCTTCGCAGACTTCGCTGCCTCCGCACCCTTCGCAGTCTCCACAGCTTCCACAACCGCACTGTAACCCAGATACAGACCATCGTTCCACACATCCATCCCCAGCATCCGGTGAAACTTTGACAGATGAGGCTCCAGCACTGAGAAGATCATCACGAAGCAGACACGCACCACGTCGACTAACCCACGACAAAACATTTGAACAGTTTCCATAGTTTCTTTTGTGTGTTTATTTTTTATTTAATGCTATCCGCATTCTTTGTATGTTATGTTATTTTCGTCCTTATTTTGTTTGTATTTCTTTACTTTAAAGAGCGGAAGATGTATCGGTTTTGCGCGGGCGCTCGAGCAGCAGCTCGGAGCCTGGCGCGGGCTCATGACATAAAGCACGAGAGCCAGTTCTCTTCTGGTACCGAGCTGTGTGGACTCACAATCAATACAACGTTGACTGCCTCTTGCAGTCTGCCCTGGATTTCTCCCTCCAACCCTGTGGTGGTCCACCCCGTGATATCGTCGGCGTAGAGGGCGTGTCGCAAGTGCGGGATTTTGTTGAGTTTGTGCGGGAGGCCTGCCATTGCCACGTTGAACAGCAAGGGCGATACAACTGATCCCTGAGGTGTCCCTCGGCCTGTTAGACGAATGGGGTCCGAGCGGATGTCACCAATCCCCAGGGTGGCGGTTTGATCCATAAGAAAAGATCGCACATAGTTGTATGCCCTTGTACCGCAGTGGGTCTCGGTGAGGTTGCGTAGAATAGCATCGTGCGAGTCATTATCGAAAGCTTCCTTGAGGTCGATGGCTAGCACCGCCCTCGCCTGGGCTTGGCTTTGAAAGTCCAGGACCTCTACCTTTAGTTGGAGGAGGACATCTTGCGTGGAGAGGCGTGGTCGGAATCCGTACATGGTGTCCGCAAAGTACTCTTGTTCCTCGAGATATGGTTGTAGTCGTGACAAGACGACGTGCTCCACGAGTTTCCCCACACAAGACGTAAGTGAAATGGGTCGTAGGTTTTGAAGTCCCAGTGGCTT